TGCGCTAGCCAGTACAGCAAAGAGTCGAGTGGAGAGGGGCGGCGGAGGGCCCCCACATACTCTAGGGCGGTTCGCCACCTGTACAAGAACTGCCATTAGAAATAAAGCAATTTCATGGCGATAATAGCTTAAAAATGTTGTAAAAAACCTAGCTAAAGGATAGCAACGTACTTTGCAACTTTCTAGAGATGTTTTGCTGTCTATGCGCCTCTTTTTTAGCCGAAACAGTGTCCCAAAACCCCGTATGGCTTAGAACTTGACCGCCTTTTATCCAATCCGGCTCAAATTTTTACCATCAATGCGTATCACTAAGTCCTCGATCTACGGAAATTTTTAGTTGAAAACATTGCTAAATGAAAAAGTTATAGCCAATAAACTGGTTTCTTCGAACGAGGGAAGGGGTTTTGGGGCGCTTACGCGAGGGAAAGCGTCGATGGTAGCGCCGCGGCGGTCCGTCACCCCGACGGACGCCAGCCCATCTTCCCCCAGCCCTTTAACCTCTTTTCATTTAAATTAGTGGTATTGTGTTTTTTTTGAATGGACTTAACAACAGCAATTAAGAATTAGGAGACATTTTAGATCACATAAACCACAACAATAATTATAGAATAAACTCTCCAGCTTGCAAAAAAATTTAATTAATTCAGACAAAAGCTGGTAAATGAAAAAAAAGTTAAATATTTCAGACAGAAGCTGATTATCGCCTTCAAATGAACTTCATGCTCAATTTACAAGATAAGATAATTTAAACGCATGAATATTTTAACAAAAAAAATGAAATAGAAGCAAACGGCAAGAGAAAACTTTGAATGTACAGGGTGTGCAAAAAAAAAGACCACAGTTTGGGTCGAAATAACTCGCGAACGGTAGAGAATCGAAGGTACGTTACCATGCCAGAATGCTTAAATATGCTGGGTATGAAGATTTAACACAACTTGATTTTTTCGATTTTTGGCGACGTATCAATACAAATGACACCCGAAAACTGTGCGTTCGGGGAAACTTCATTTGTATTTTTCTCAGTTTCCTGTGGTGGCTGGCATCTAGTTTTTATTAAGTAAGTTAAGTTCGGCAGCAGATATGTACCTACAAAATTTAAGAATTTTGAGGGTCTGGTTGAAAAGTTAGAGAGGAATGAAATTTTGTATGGAGAAATTTCGAAAATTTTTAATATTGAAAAAACCTATGGCGAAAACCTCAAAATCAGTTGTTGTGGAATACCTACAGGCTTGACACAATCGCATAAACATATTAAGGAATTTTTTGAGATCGACGAATTTTCGAGTTTTTCAACGACCCCCTGGTCATGGATTTTTCCAGGTCACGAAACCCAACTTTGGAAAAATATTTCTAGATTGCCAAAGGGGCCTCATCTGTTTTCTTTGCTTAGCTATGTAGGACTGGGGTTTATCTATCATCTACAAAATTTCGAGCTACCGTACCCTTTTGGAAGGACGTCTTTTAGGGCCTCCAAAACGGTTCGTTCGTGCTTTTTTTCGAATATTGTCACCATTTTATAAAATTTAGTCCCGCTTTGAAAATTTTTGTTTTATTTTTATCTGATATAATTTGAATAGCGCATCCTAAAGCCTTATTCATGAATTTTTTTTAACCAGCGGTTGGCGCCAGGAAAATTCATCAAAACCCGAAATAAACCGAATTGGAGGTTGCGTCAAAAAATTTTGGAAGGTGGAGTCGTAGGGATACTTTGAGCAATAAGTCAGTGCCATCAGTTGAATAAAACTATGCAAAGATTAAAGCAATTTCACGTCGCAAACATTTTAAGAAGATTTCTAAACTTCGATTTTGGAATAGGGTGATCTTCGATTTTGAGCTGAAAGTCACCATAATTTTGAATCAGATTGCCCCCAAATTTTACGGGCGTAGATAATAACACCAAAGCTATAATCGTATCCATAAGGCCCAGCTGGCTTTTTTATTTTTAAAAATTCGAAAATTGACCCCGGTTACTCGGACCAAAAAATCGGCTCTCTGGCCTTGTTTTGGACTATGCCTCGTAACTTTGTTATTTACCACCCAAAATCAGTAATTTTTGACCAGCTATCTTACAATCACTTCTAGAAGGCCCCCGAATAGAAAAATCGTCACTTTATGGAATTTTGTGATGGCATGCTAAAACGCGCTCCAAGTGGGTTACTGTAGAAAACCGAAATTTGCGATTTTCGTGGTGTTTTTGCCATGGAATCGCTTCGATCTTTCGGTAAAAGCAATAGTAACAGTTTTTGGTACAGCTGACCAAAAAATTTACAAGATTCTGTGGCGGAATTGAAAACTCAGTTTTAAGGCTTTTTCATAAAGTTTGTGGATAGTACGCTCTCGTATTTGGCAGGAAGGTGCCCCTACTTATTGCCTAACAACCCAGAAAATTTTAGCCGAATCGAAGCTAGGGGCCCCGAGAAAAGCGGGGAAAACGAAATTTACAGTACCCCGCTGGGGCACGTTTTAGCAAGCAATACAGAAATACCATAGATAGTGGTGGAATTTGGTGTGGAATCCGAGATTAATATTTGGATAGGTCATTGACAAAATATCAGCCATGGGCAGCGAGTTATAAGCGAGTTATGACTCAAAGAACAAAAATAACGCAAAATCGCGAAAATTGTTTTGCTTTTAAAAAATGAAATTGACCTCGATAAATTCTAAGATTTTGCCATTACATTTTTACAAATTTATACTATTTTTAGGCCAAAAATCAGAATTTTCCCACCTCCCGTTCAAGAACGCACAATTTTCGGTCGTAACCAGCGTCAATAGTACAGTTGCGTACTCAAAAATCGAAAAAATCAAGTTGTGTTAAATCTTCATACCCAGCATATTTAAGCATTCTGGCATGGTAACGTACCTTCGATTCTCTACCGTTCGCGAGTTATTTCGACCCAAACTGTGGTCTTTTTTTTTTTGCACACCCTGTAGGTAATGAGAAATTGCTTGTCAAAATGGCATTCAAAAAAGAAATCCAACACGGAAAAAACTATTTCACTATTAATATTATAAATGACAATAGAACTGGTCTCAGAAACATCGGAATCGAAGCATAAACTCCAGAGAAGATTTTGAGAAAAACATGCTGGAAAAAAGATATCAGCAAAGACGACCTGGACGAATTTATATTTTTTGGAAAAGAATAATATAGGTAAATAGTTCTAGTATTATCAAGAAAACTATTCATAAATAACAGAAAAAATATATCCGTCAATCTCAAGCAGTAGCCTGCGGCTAGCTCCTTTTCCAGGCAGCCACCCACTCCTGGAAATGTCTGCTTGTGGCTAGAAGGGGGGCTCTCCCGGGCACTCCAATCGATCTGTGGGCCATTGGCTTGGGGCCCAAAATGAAGAGACGAGGCGGGTGGCATGGAAAGGCCTTTCTCTCTCTCTCTCTCTCTCTCTCTCTCTCAGCATGTACCCCTGGCCTTTTATGGTGGCGGATTGGGGTAGGGGGAATGGGTGCGAGCTCTGGGTCTCCGTGCTAAAACGTTCTCTCTCCTCTCTCTCTCTCTCTCTCTCTCTCTCTATCTCCTTCACCTCACGGGCCATTAGCCGGATTAGAAATTACTCAAGTGGAGGAACGGAGGCTGGAAATTCGGACGCACTGCAGAGTGCTATTTAGGGCCTGGCCCTTAAAGGATTGGAGTGGAAATTGGAACCTAAACTTCGAACCACAACAACTACAGGGTGTCCCAAAAAAAACGACCCATCTGGCATTTCGCCGGGTTACATCCAATCGGTCCCATATTTGGAGAGGAGGTGTATCAGACCCTAAATAACAACAATCCTGACTTATAGCCCAGTAGCTGCAGTAGTTTTAAAGTTATATCGAAAACACTGTTTTTCCCGGAATTCTGGACAGTTTTATCGGCGATCTTTTTGGACTTTGCATCGATTTGCATCGACTTCCGGCTGCGAATCCCTAATTCCGCTTAATATCGGGGGTAGTTTTGCGTTGTAAAAATCGCTTAAATCAAGGCTTATTTAATTAATTTTACTCTGGAAAAAAATTTCTTACGGTAAAGAAGGCCTACCGGATCATTTTCACTTAATGTTTAGTGGGTCTAATTCCACGGAAACCCTATGAAAAACGGAAAATCAGGTTTGTTTTTGCTATAACTCGAAAACGACTGTAGCTACCGGGCTGTAAGTCAGGATTGTTGTTATTTAGGGTCTGATACACCTCTGGTCCAAATATGGGACCGATTGGATGTAACACGGCGAAATGCCAGATGGGTCGTTTTTTTTGGGACACCCTGTATAAGGCGGGGAGAAAGAGAGGGAGGGCTAGTGAGAGAGCGAGAGATAGAAAGAAAGCGAAGGAGAGAGAAAGAGCGAAAGAGTGAGAGAGATGGACCTATAGATAGAGAGAGAGACTGACAGAGAGAGAGCGAGAGTGAGAGAGAGAGCGAGATAGAGAGAAGGGGAGAGAGAGCGAGCGAGATGAGCTAGCTAAAATTGGAGCGAAATAACAGTCTTTGATGTCATTATCCCTTTAGAAGTGGCAAAGAAATAAAGTGACAGCCTAAGCTATAAATTCAACATTTTTGCGACTTTTTAAGATTGTTGAAAACCGTCTACTGCAAATTGTTCTCGTCACGTCATCAGCATTGTTTATTTGCCAAATCGCAAACAATGATAAGCAAGGGAAATAAAAACCCGAAAGTTTATAACAAAAACGTGCCAAATTTTGGACACGTGAGCATGCCCCCGTTCGGCAGCCGAGCATCGCGTAAATTAAACAAAACACGCAAAAGTTTGGAGAGGGGGAGGAGCGTGCATCAATGCGAGCAGCACATTTATGGATGGCCCTTGAGGGCTTAGTTGCCAGTTGTATACTCCTGAAAAGTGGTCCTAATTTGGAGGTATACGGCGTTTAATAACAATTTTTATTCCGTTTTAATACTGCTATTACCCGCCAGTACACTTCTAGCGATTGGATTCCACGCCCAATTTTGCAACTTGGTCTGCTAGATTTGCTATTTGCTATTCGGAATGATTCCCTATGTTTGGTCGCCTAAAGGGCCATTGAAGTCAAGCATCTTGGCTACGGTATTCCTGCTATGCGAACTTTTTAAAGTTCAAGCGTCGGATTATGAAGATACCGATAGTCACTGCTACGTTGGCCCTGGAGTATATTTTTTTGTATTAAAAATTATGAAAATCAAACATAGTAATAACACAAAAAGTTTTTATTCGTTTTCCGGATGTCCTTGAAAAAGCATTAATGATTTTCGGACTTCTATAAACCACATTTATCATATTTTTAGGGTTTAAGGCGTGATTTTTGGCAAAAAAAAATTCTTAAAAATGGAGAAACGTGGTCAAAAAAGCAGTAAATTATATTTTCGCAAATTTTGCTTTGAAATGTTGTTTTGTCTTTAAAGTGGTTGTTCAAATCGATCTCTAAATTGCCTAGTAACTCTTGTACGCCATTCGGCTAAGGTATTTCAAACAAAAATAAAATCGTAGAGAAATCATGGAGCAAGTAAATCACCGGAATTTGCAAATTATTACAGCGCTCAGTGGACACGACGGCCCCGTGTCTTGACACGACATGCGGAACATTTATCGAATGGCAGCAAAAAGCCGACGCCGCCGACCGCGAACAATACGTCGAATACATGTGCGGTGACGGACGGGGCGTCTGCGAGGGATGGGAGGAGCATGTAAGCGGAAAAATTAGCATAGAAACCAGGCGTAACCATACCGCAAATTACCCCTCAAAGTCTTTTCCGAGTTATTGAGACCAAACCCGAAAAAATTCCAAAGCCAAAAATTTTGTATGACACATCTTTTTTTAGGTAGATTACGTCGAATGATTCAGTTTTGTTTAATTTTCCGGAAAACGGCTCCCTCATCTTTTTTTCAGGAACGTGAATTCCACGCCGGGAAGGACGGAAAAGTGTTATATGGACAGATGCATTGCTGTCATGGGGATTACTGTAATCGGGTGCGTTTTCATATTTTCCTACATTCTCCTGCGATTTTGCTATGTGTTTGTTTTTTGTTTAACCTCTGATTTGATTGCGTCTTCTCGTGGCGCCATAAAGTCCAAGCTTTAGCCCAACAAGACGTTACTCGAAATAAGTCGGCAGAGAACCAGAAAAGACTATATAAGTGATTCTGAAGAAGACAAAGACGATTCGGAAGTGGGTTTTTTGTACCATATAATCAATTCATTTCCTGAATTTGTCATCCTTATACCTTTTTTGGGTTTATTTATTGTTTTAATTGTTGTATTTAGGAAACATCCACTGCGAACGAGCCAGGAACTTCTAGTTGCTGCACATTTTTCCTTGTGATTATCGCCTTGATAAACTTGCTGTGATGAAATAAACCTTGATCTGCTCTTTATGGATTTATACACAATATTTTTTACTTAAAAAGGTCGGAGTTTCGGAGCTTCCCAGTTTCCGCAGCTTGACAAAAGTCGAAAAACCAGTTGTTGACCCGAGGCTAGATCCAATCTGAAAATCTCGGAGTCTTCCCGCCTTAGCTCCTCTACTTTCACCAATATAATGCTTTGCTGCCTAAATTGCGGGAAACGAATATTTATCGCGTTATTCAGGCGCATTCAATCAATTCATTTCTGGTTTCACCGGTTGTTTTTCCGAATTCAAGCTTGGGTGGAACGGAAGGAGGTTCCGCAAGGATGGGTGGGTTCTGGGAGAGAGAGAGAGAGGGGGGAAGAGAGAGAGAGAGAGAGACAAAGAGAGAGAGAGAGAGAGAGAGAGAGAGAGGGTGAGCGGCAGGGAGAAAGAGCATGATAAACCTAGAAACCCGTCTACTATCTAATCGCTGCCAGTCTCGTTGTATTATGGGCCTCACCTCGAAATCCTTATGGGGAATATGGACCATATAATTACTACTATTGGGTCGATTCGGAGAACGAGCGGTATGAGGACATCGGTGAGTCGTTATTAAGCCCTACTTCGCACTACTTTATTAATATTTTTTAGGCTTCCAATACTCCATTCTCTCCCCAACCTCACCGGCTATGAAATCATCATCTACAAGGCTTACTTCGATAATAGGTACAAAACTTGCTTTTGAAAACTGCCAATGCTCACGCTAAAATTCGTGGAGGCTGCATTTGTGTAGCTGTTACCGTGCCTTTAAAGCGCACGTTCAGGGACGTTTTTTGAAAGAGCAAAGATTTTTGCCGCGGCCGGGGTCGGGCCCGGCCCCCGCTCGGGAGGCGCGGATGCATACCAGTCAGCCACAGCAACAACCTGGCAAGGGGGCGAGGGGCGCCCCACGCCGCAAATGAAGGGAATGGCCTGTCACAGCACGGGCAGGCAGTGCGCGCGGTCCCTACGTCCATAGGGTGTACACGTTGGGACGAGTACAAGGCCCCTCCCTGAACGTGCGCTTCAATGTCTCAAAAACCTCCTCTAGAGAACGGCCCCGGATCCGGTTGCACGCCTTCGTCCCGAACTGCGACAAAGTGCTACCGGAACTGACGATTTCCGTTGAGGATAAAGCACTGACGATCGAGTCCATTGAGGCGCTGACTACAACACCGAAATTGAGTAATTTTTCGGGTCGAGGGGGCTGAATCCGCAGTCCTAGTTTTGTCAACAGAACTCTGTTTTGAAAGCTAAACATATCGAAAAACTTAAATTTGCAGCAACCTGCCCAATTCGAACACAAGAACCTCCTGGGTGTGTTTATTGGTTCTACGATATCTCGGCACTTTTTGAGGAGGTCATCCCCAAGGAGGTAAGCGACAGCTTAAAAAACCTTGAATTTTCCAAAGAAACTTTTTAAGTGCATTTAGCTGTGGTTTTTTTAGCTAACAATCCATCGAGGCGGCTCTGGAGCTTCTATGAAAATTGATGTGGTTCCGCAAGAGTACAAGAAGGGCTTGACGGCTGGTGTCTCGCCGTTTTTCTGGTATTCTTCAATTTCGATAAGCCGCTTGGAGAGTTCCTCTAGGTTCAACGACTGGCCTCGACTATTCGTTTTCATTGAACTCGCCCAAAAAGTTGGATTTACGCATTTTCTATTTTCACACCAATCGGCATCGCTGGCAGTGATGGAAATGCTGCAGTATTATGTGGAAAAGGTAAGTAATTCTCGATCGTTCTCTCTCTCTCTCTCTCCCTTTCTCTCTCGCTTTCTCGATATCGGCCTCACCCTCAGCTGGAAAAACAATGCAAATGATAGGGTATTGCCGAGATCCGCGCCTGGCCCATTCTACCATACACCAACGCAGTCAGTGATTTTCATGATTTTCTAAGCGTAATTACAGTATGACTCAAACGAGCGAACCTTTTGGGGCGGCCAAATAATGGCCGAAAATTACTGCGGATTCTGGTCGAAGACAAACTATACGGCTTTGGTGGACGTAGACGATTTGTTTTATCCAAGAACGTAGGTCGATCAATTTCTTAGATTATAGACGTTATGTAGCAGACACGCAACGTACTGCGTGCGTAGTATTGTGACGCACTTTCTTCATAGAGGTGTAGTGAAGGCGCAACTGGCTACAAATGGCATATTGTAGGATACAAATTTAGAGGCGAGAACCTGATTGAGTTGGCGGATCGGCATTTTTTGGATCCGAGAATAGGTGGGATATCATAATTTTATTTCGATGCATCGATTCCGAATTTTTTCTACAGGATTTTTTACTTCTACACAAATATAACAGATTACAATATCTTATATGCACTCCTAAGAGCTAATTAACATTTCCAGCAAGCCTCAGCTTTGAGCACGTTGGTCTTGGGTGACGCCCACCCCTTGTCACCTATCCGTACAATTTCACCAAACTCATCAAATTTGAAGCCCTAAAGAACCCGACTCTGGTAGAAGAGCATCGATTCCATAAGGTAAGCTTAATTTACTCAATTTTCCAAACAATATATTTACTTTAGTCAATTTTCCAAACCAAGTACGCCGCAACTCTGTGGACGCATCAGCCGGTGAAGTTCTATGAGGGAAAGCGCAGCAAAATGGTGAGTGATTTTCGTTTTTAATTTAATTTTAGGCCGTATAAGTTAGCCCTACTTTTGAAAATTCGCTAAACATTTTTAGGTTGGTTACAAAGAAGCCGTGTACCTGCATCACCAGAAAAACTACGAAACATACGATAACCAGACGCAACCCTACGAAAAAATGGCGGATTTTACATTTTTTGATCAGGTATGTAATTGAGTGAAATTGAGTCATTGAGTTATATATTTAGAAAACGCTGAACGAGACGCTAACTGATATGCAAGATATTTTAAAAGAGATCTATCAACATAACCCGAAGCCACCGAAATATCGGGTGAATCAAGTGGCCGATGGGTTGGCTAGATGTGGCTTTAGGTGAGAGAGAGAGAGAGAGAGAGAGAGAGAGACAAGAGAGAGAGAGAGAGCGAGAGAGAGAGAGAGAGCGAGGGGGAAAGCGAGAGGGAGGACGAGAGAGAGCGAGAGGGGGGAGAGAGAGCAAGAGAGAGAGCTAGAAAGAAAGCGACAGAGATAGGGAGAAAGCAGCAAATTATGATGATTTTTCAGGGCCCAAAAGATCAATAAATGCCCGACCCTCGGCGGGCCCTGTTATTTGCATATGAAAAACTTGGACGAATGGGTCTACGCGCCGCCTGACGAGAATTCAAACTGGATCGTTGTATAATTTATTAAACGTATTTTAAGCATAAAATTTATCGGCCGTACGCGCATTTTTCTGGAAGGGACAGAATCCAGATTTTTTGCAGCAGAAAGCCTGATTTTTCCACTAAATGTTAAATCATGAATTTCATGAATTAATTTTTCGGTTGTCGAAAATCTTGAAGACGGTATTTCGATGATTTTTAAAGTTTCGCAAGGCTTCTAATGTTTTGCATTTCCACTGGCAGCTACTCAATCATTTTTTTCTTGTTTGTCTATTGACTCGACCCTTGATTTCCACTCGCGATAGTGACCCACTCCTTCCGCTTCTCCCTCTCATTCTCATCCCTCC